GGTTCTTCAGCAGGCGAGATCACTAGCTGATCTTCTAGAGAACTTGAATTCAATTCCTACCACTTACAAGGCAGATCACAACTGTCTCTTACTTCAGTTCCAAGGGACCTTAAAACCTTACATAGGCCTACACAACAGGCAACACACCAATGTACATAAAAGTAAAATAAATAAATAAATAAAATGAATGATTATCCATTTCCTATATCTATGTTCCATAGTAAAAATACAATGTTTTGTGGGTATATGCTTTTGAGTGTATCAAATCTTTCTTCCATAGTTTGGAAATAAGTGTTCAATCTCCACTTCTAAACACTGAAAATGTATAGAAAATCTTGATTCCTCTCCACTCTTTCAGTAAGTGTGTCTTTGTTCCAACAGAAACAAAAATGCTTAATCCATCCTATTCAGGTTTTTCTGAACCCCTATGATGCAGGAGAATTGTCTGTATTCTGTCAATCATATTTTAATAAAACGCTGATTGGCCAGGCAGGCAGTATAGGTGGGAAAGCCAGAGAGGAAGTAGGGGTGGAGCAAAGAGACTGAGAGTATTCTGGGAAAACAGCAAGCTCCCTCCGCCACTCCTGTGCGGACCACCAAAGAGGCAGCATGTAACTTGCCCAGCTGAAAAAGGTATGGAGCCGTGTGGCTAATGTAGATAAGGATAATGGGGTAACATAAGTTATAAGAGCTAATAAGTAGCCTGACCTAATGGGCCAGTCAGTTTATAACCTTATGGAGTCTTGTGTGTGATTTTCCTTGGGAGTTGCTGGTTGTGGGGTACTGGGTGGGACAGAAACCCCAACAAGCCAGCCCTCATGTTACACCCATAGACGACATAAACAGTGGTTCTAACGTTCAGACCACAAAAGTTTTGGATAGAATAAGGTTTAACACCATATCAGTATAATTCAACATAACGTCTTATGCAGGAACTTAATATATCAGACATTTTTTTCTGATAAATTCTATCAAGGAACTTCTACAACTCATAAACACTTTCAGCAACATAGCAGGATACAAGATTGACTCAAAAGAATCAGTAGCCTTCCTGTACAAGGATGATAAAAGGGCTGGGGAAGAAATCAGAAAATCAACAACCTTCACAATAGCCACAAATAGCATAAAATATCTCTGAGTAACAGTAACCAAGCAAGTGGAAGACTTGTATGACAAGAACTTTAAATCTTTGAAGAAAGAAATTGAAGAAGACACCATAGAGTGGAAAGATCTCCCAAGCTCTTGGGTAGGCAGAATTAACATAGTAAAAGTGGCAATCTTACAAAAAGCAATCTACAGATTCAATGCAATGCCCTTCAAGATTCTAGCAAAATTCTTCACATAAAGAATGGCACACAACTTCATATGGAAACACAAAAAACCCAGAATAGTCAAAACAATCCTGTACAAGAAAAGAACTTCTGGAGGCATCACAATCCCTGACATCAAACTCTACTACAGAGCTACAGTACTCAAAACAGCCTGGTATTGGCACAAGAACAGACAGGAGGGCCAGTGGAACCAAATAGAAGACATGGATATCAATCCACACAGCTTCGAACACCTAATTTTTTTTTTTTGGTTTTTTCGAGACAGGGTTTTCTGTGGCTTTGGAGCCTGTTCTGGAACTAGCTCTTGTAGACCAAGCTGGTCTCGAACACACAGAGATCCACCTGCCTCAGCCTCCCAAGCACTGGGATTAAAAGCGTGAGCCACCACTGCTCTGCTCAAGTTCAGCTTTTTGTTGTTGTTGGTATTAGGAATTGAACAGGGGCCATCTGCATGCTCTCCAAGCGCTCTACCACTGAACCATATTCTCATCCTACCCCATGTCCCGCTTTTTAGGAGACAAAGTCAGTTCCATAGCCAGGGGCCCCCATAAGCCTCCTGCCTTGCCTGGGGAGTACATAGTATTATTGCTGTGTACCAATACACCTGGGCACCCGCCAAGTAGTTTTTAGGTGGTAAATCTGTCTTTTATTCCTGGTGGATGTTCAACCCTTAATTCAATCTTCAATGTCTCTTGGCCATTTTTATAGGGGTTATAAAAGAATCAGTGGATGAGACTGGCAAATGCAGTTTTGGAGACAGTATCCCCAGGATGTTTGGGGGCAGGTCTAGGGGCCTTCATTGTACTGTTGTTTCCTCTGTGTTCATAGAATACACTTATGAATGCGTATACATCACATGTAACCATTTCTATGCATATTTCTCAATGAAATATATTGCACCCAGTTTTCTTCATAACTCCTGAGGCAGGAGCCCAGCGCTTCAGGTGTGCTAGGCATGTAATCTCCCTCCAGCAACATCCCATTTTTGTTTACCATCTCGCAAAGGCTCGTCTATTAATAAATTTAAAATCACAAGTCTAAGGTGTGTGTGGTGGTGGACTCCTTTAATTGCAGCTCTCAGGAGTCAGAGGCAGGTGGATCTCTGTGAGTTCAAGGCCAGTCAGGTCCACAGATTGAGTTCCAGAAGAGCCTGAACTGTGTAATGAGACCCCGTCTGAAAACAAAACAAACAAACCTAAAAGGATCAACTTCAGAGGACACAGAAAACAAAACTGATTAAAAAACAAACAAACAAAAAAAAAACCACTTTAATCCCAGCAGGTGGGAGGCAGAAGCAGCTGGATCTCTGTGAGTTCAAGACCAGTCTGCTCTACAGAAACCTAGTTTCAGCCAGAGTTACATAAAGAAAACCTGTCTCAAATGGGGGGCGGAGAGAAATGCAGTCATTCGTGAGCAACCACACTCTACTTTCCATAATTTTCTTCACTTTTTCCTTCATATTTATTTATTTACATATTTTGAGATAGGGTCTCTTTAAGTATTTCTGGATACCCTGGAACTCTCTATGTAAACCAAACTGGCCAGGAACTGCCAGAGATCCTCCTGCCTCTGTGTCCTGAGTGCTGGTATCACAGGTGTCTGACACTATACCTGGAATCACAATTTTATTTTATTTCTTTATGTTGGTTTTTGTGGGGTTTTTTATTGATTTTTATTGATCTCTGCTCGACTCCGTGCCTCTCTTCTTCCCTTCAACCCTCTGCCAAAGTCCCCATGCTCACATTTACTCAGGAGATCTTGTCATTTTCTACTTCCCATGAAGATTAGATCTATGTATGTCTCAATGTTCTCATTGTTGTCTAAATTCTGTGGGATTGTGGTTTATAGGCTGGCTTTCTTTTCTTTATGTTTAAAAACCACTTATGAGTGAGTACATGTGATAATTGTCTGTGTCTGGGTTACCTCATTCAAAATGATGTTTTCTAGCTCTATCCATTTGCCTACAAAATTCAAGATGTCGTTATTTTTCTCTGCTGTGTAGTACTCCATTGTGTAAATGTGCCACATTTTCCTTATCCATTCTTCAGTTGAGGGACATTTAGGTTGTTTCCAAGTTCTGGCTATGACAAACAATGCTGCTATGAACATAGCCGAGCACATGCCCTTGGGGCACAATTGAGCATCCTTTCGATATAAACCCAAAGTGGTATTACTGGGTCTTGAGGATGGTTTCCTAATTTTCTGAGAAATCGCCATACTGACATCCAAAGAGGTTGTACCAGCTGGCATTCTCACCACCAATGCAGAAGTGTTCTCTTTACCCCACAACCTCTCCAGCATAAGTTGTCATCAGTGTTTTTTGAACATGGCCATTATTACAGGTGTAAGATGGAATCTCAGAGTTGTTTTGATTTGCATTTCTTTGATGACTAAGGTTGTTGAACATTTCCTTAAGTGTCTTTCAGCCCTTTTAGATCATTCTGTTGAGAGTTCTCTGTTTAGGTTGTACACCATTTTTTATTGGATTATTTGTTCTTTTGATGACCAATTTCTTGAGTTCTTTGTATATTTTGGAGATCAGACCTCTGTCTGATGTGGGATTAGTGAAGATCTTTTCACCTTCTGTAGGCTGTCATTCGTCTTCTTGACCGTGTCCTTTGTTTTACAGAAGCTTTTCAGTTTCAGGAGTTCCCATTTATTAATTGCTTCTCTCAGTGTCTGTGCTACTGGGTTATAATTTAGGAAGTGGTCTCTTGTGCCAACACGTTCAAGTGTACTTCCCACTTTCTCTTCTATAAGGTTCAGTGTGACTGGCTTTATGTTGAGGTCTTTGATCGATTTGGACTTGAGTTTTGTGCATGATGATAGATATGGGTCTATTTTTATTCTTCTACATGTTGATATCCAGTCATGCCAGCACCATTTGTTAAAGATGCTTTCTTTTTTTTCATTTAATGTGTTTTCTTCTTCATCAAAAATTAGGTGTTCGAGGCCGGGTGGTGGTGGCTCACGCCTTTAATCCCATCTTAATTCTTAACCTTGGGTATCACAGATAAGGTTCAAACAGTGCCTGTGCCTTGTCTCACCTATGCGCATGCGCAATGCTTGTTCACGGAGCTCCTCCTGACTCTTATTCCTGAGCACAGAGATTAAAGGTGGGCACCGTCCTGCCCCCTCCCTCCTTTTTTTTAAAGACAGGGTTTCATCAAGGAGGCCTGGCTGGACCCGGAAGCCAATGTTTAGTTAGAGTAGGCAGGTGTCAAAGTCGCAGAGAGCCCCAGCGTCGGGCTCTGATGTTAAAAAGGTGTTCTGCCAGCCAGGTGTTGATGGCACACGCCTTTAATCCCAGCACTCAGGAGGCAAAGGCAGGCAGATCTTTGTGAGTTCGAGGCCAGCCTGGTGTACAATAGCTAGTTCTATTCTATTTGTAACAGGCTCCAAGGCTTCAGAGAAACCCTGTTTCAAACAAACAAACAGACAAAAAAGAAGGTGTTCTGCCACAGCTGGCTATAGACGCCAGTTCTTTGGAGACAAACCAAATTCAGGTGAAGTGGGTGGAGACTAAAACAGTCAATCAGGTGGCGGTTTGTAGTGTAGTCTGAGCTTGCTTAGGGGGCGTGGAATCGAACGTTCTGTCTAAATATCAGCAGCCCATGGAGTGCCCGAGGTTGGTGGGCAGGTCGCTGTGAGTTTGAAGTTAGCCTTGACTACACACTGAGTTTCCAGCCACCAGGTCAACAGAGGAGCCAAAGCAAACAGACCTCGAGGCAGGAGTCACTTCTTTGCCCTGCTGTGGACCTCTCTCTTCTGGCCAGCTCTGGTAAGTTACTTTAGCCCGGCAGTGGCAGTCATGCCTTTAATCCCAGAAATCGGGAGGCTGAGGCAGACAAGTCTTGGTGAGTTCGAGGCCAGCCTGGTACACTGGTACACAGTTCCAGGACAGCTAGAGCAGTCACAGAAAAAACGCTGTCTCAAAATCTGAAAAACCAGAAAATGAAAAGAACTTAGTGGTAGCAGACCATGGTTTCACCCACTTGCTTGTACCATCACACTGGGTAGCCTGGAAGTCTTGTAGATCCCACTACCCCAGCTTTATGAGTGTTTGGGTGAGGATGTGAATCTTCACCCTGGACTTTCAAGAAACATTTTGCTCCACAGAAATTCAGTCCTTGGCATTTAACATACTAGTTGGAGTCCGGTGGTGGTGCACACCTTAAATCTCAGCACTCAGGCAGACAGCCAGGTAGGTCTATGTGAATTGGAGGCTAGCCTGGTCTACACATTAAGTTTTTTTAATGACATTCATTTTATGTGTGAGTGTTTTGCCTGCATGCGTGTGCTTATATGCGGCTCATGCGTGTTTGGTGCTCTGAAGTGTGCATCAGAACTTCAGAACTGGAATTATGGATGGGGTGAGGCACCAGGTGGTGCTGGGAAGCTGAGCCCAGACCCTCTAGAAGAACAACATGTTCTCTTCTACACTGAGCCAGCTGTCCAGCCTAAATAGTGAGTTGAGGCCAGCCAAGGCTGCGTAGAAAGACCTTGTTTCAAAACAGAAGCAAAAATTCTGATGTTGACATCCAACTGCCAGTGTGGATGCGGTAGTTGCATTTTAGGATACTGATGCCATTGAAGTAAGGAGTTCACAGCCTGCATCATTCATTGCCAGCAGCCCCCAGGGTGTCTGAGCATAGGCACCAGGGAAGGTGAATGTTCCCTGAAACGGTATGGATTTATAATGCTTTCCGTTTAGGATTTGAGATAAGGAATATCTGTTTGTTTGTCTGTTTGTTTGTTTTGAGACAGGATTTCTTTGTACAGCTTTAGAGCCTGTGTTAGAACTCTCTCTGTAGATCAGGCTGGCTTCAAACTCACAGAGATCCACTGGCCTCTGCCCTTCCAAGGTCATGGATTAAAGGTGTGTGACACCACCTCCCAGCCCTGGCTGATATTTCTTGTTTAAGACTGGATCTGATGTAAACTGAGCTAACATCCTATTTTCTATGTAGCTGGGGCTGGCCTCAAACCCTTGATCCTTCTGCCTGCCAAGGGTTGACAGGCCTGTCACAACTCTCAGTTAGTACCACACCTTCCTTCTAAGTTATTGCTACCCCCTCTTCCCTGCCTCCTGAGTGCAGGGATGGCACCTGCATGCCAGCACTCCTGGTCAAAAAGGGTATTGAATGATACACATTTCCCCAAAGCTCGAGTTTAGCTTCTAGGACATGCACGACTCACTTCCTATTATACATGAAATCCAGTGCACCACCTGGAAATGGGTAGTAATGAGATGAGCTGTGGCCATGGATGCTTGAGAGACCATTCTCCTGGGACCAGCAGCAAGTTCGAAGGCTTTGTGGTCCATTGGAGCATTGAGTGGAGTGAGCTAAATTGAGGTCTCTGCCACTCTCAGAGCAGTGACTGTCCCTGGGTTAGCTCCCCTCATGGATAAGAATAGTGTCCCAGCACTCATTTGATAGGATGGGTTTCATTCTCTTTTCATTTTTTTTTTTTTTTTTGGTATTTCGAAGTAGGGTTTCTCTGTAGCTTTGGAACTTGTCCTGGAACTCTGTAAATCAGGATAGTCTCAAAATCAGAGATCTACCTGCCTCTGCTTCCTGAGTGTTGAGATTAAAGGAGGTGTGTGCCACCACCACCTGACTGAAAGAGTATCTTTCTAAATGTTGCTCCAGGAACCTTCTTACTGAAGATTCATCAGGATGAGCTTGAAGCCCCCACTCACACTCCAGGAGCTGGCGGAGAACAGCCTCCTGAGGAACAAGACCATGGCAGTCTCTAATCTGGACAATATACCCTCAGTTTTCTTCCCATCACTGTTCAAAAAGGCCTGCAGAAAGAGAAAAGCTAGCATTGTGAAGGCAATGGTGCAGGCCTGGCCCTTCCCCTGCCTCCCACTGGGAGCCATGATCAGGAGGGATGATTCCTACAGGAGAGTCTTAGAGATTATCCTGTCTGGGCTTGATGGCATGCTGTGCCAGGAGGTTCCTCACAGGTGAGTACACCCGGATGCCCTGAAGGAAGGCCTTGGGAATTAAAAAGCAGAGACAGCTGGGGACAGGTAGAATCAGGTGAGAGAGTGGACATAGAATGGGGTGGAGGTTTTGGGGGGACCAACTTGGAGAACTCCATCACTGAGCCCTCTGGGAAAGGGCTGTGGCTTATGCAGGACTCATGAATCAGCAGAGACTGAAAGAGCCAGTCACTGCTCCCACAGGCACTAGAGTGGGACTTAAGGAGAAGAGAGTGCGAAGAGGGTGGTGGTTAAAGCCTCCATGTTGATGCTCTTCCCTGCTCTACCCCAGGAGGTGCAGACTGAAAGTGCTGGATCTGCGGATTCTGCCTTTGAGGATGTGGGACCAGTGGTCTGTGTTCACGGCTCCTGACTGGAGTGAGAACCAAACAGCAGTGGGTCTTTCAGAAAAGGAGGTGAAACCACGGGTGAAGGTGGCTATAAACCTGGTCCTGCAGGAATGCCCATTAAAGTCCTTGGAGTACTTTGTCATTAAGTGGGTGGCTCAGAGAGAAGGTCTGAGTCTGTGCTGTAACAAGCTAGAGATCTGGTCCGTGGCCACTTATTATCACAAAGATGTCTTGGAGACATTGGACTTGAACTGTGTTCAGCACCTGGGTTTGTATAACATGAATGATCTTACCTGCCTGCTTAACTTCTCCCCTTACCTGGGTCGAATGAGGCACCTGTGCAGTCTCCTCCTCTACTGCTTCTGGCTGTTTGCCGGTCTCACGCCAGTGGAGAAGCAGCTGTTCATCACCCACTTCACCTCGAAGTTTCTCAAACTGAAGCACCTCCAGGCCCTGATTCTGGATAATGTCTTCTTCCTAGAGGATCACCTAGACCAGCTCTTCTGGTAAGGAGGGGTGTCAGGCAAAGCCTTCTTCCTTTAGACATTAGCGACCACCTGCTCTCTGTAGCCCTGGTAGATTAACCTTGTCAGAGCATGAGAATATCAGGGCATTGTTCTGCATCTGCTGTCCTGGAGCGGGCTCTCGCATAGGTACTAATCCAAAGGAGTAGGGCCGAGCTGAGGTCGGTGGTTTAGAAAGGCGATCCATGCTAGGAAGCCTCTCAAGGATGAGCTCTAGTAAGAATGGGGTCTGATTTCTTTCTTAGCAAGTGTCTAAGGTGAACGGGAAAAAGGAAAAGGAGGAGGGCTGTGTAGTGGGGAGCACTGTACACTGAGCTCTGCTCAGCTTGCTTCCAGCTCTCTATCTAGGACAGGCTGGGTTTGGAGATGAGGTATATGTGGTCCAGATGGGGAACAGGATTGGAACAGGATTGGCCGGTACTTTCCCCAGCCCTCCTCTTGTCTCAGTGCCCTAGGAGTAGCACAGATGTGGACCACCGTACCCGGCTTTGTTTGGACCTCAGAGGGTGAGGAGATGAGAAGCGTGAAGTCAGAGTTGAGAATCGGGGTCATGGTGAAGCTCTGTGAAGAGACAGGTCTGTGAACCCATAGGCAGATCCTGCCTGCCTTTGTCCTCCCTATGTGGACAGGAATTGCAGTCTTGGGTTGAGCTGATCCTACCATGATGGTGAAAGGCCTCAGTACAGGTTAGAATGAGCAGACTCTGTCATGGCGCATGGTGGCTACTGGCTTTTATCGTGTGATTAAAAGGATCTTGGACCACATGCATGTTCCCAAAACTGTCTTCTTGTTTTTTTTTTTTTTTTTTTTTTTTGTAGGTGGCTAAAGACTCCCTTAGAGACCCTGTCTCTGACTAACTGCTTGCTCTCAAACTCAGACTGGGCCCATATGGCTGAATTTCCGTGCACAAGACAGCTAAGACATTTGAGTTTGAAAGGGGTCAAACTGACTCATGTTAGCCTAGAGGCCCTGCAAACTGTGCTGCGAAAATCTGCGTCTACTTTGCTAACTCTGGACTTGGAGTCCTGTCATTTGCTGGACGGCCACCTCAGTGCCATCCTGTCCTCCCTAAGGGACTGTACCCAGCTTATCTCGTTTAACTTCTCTGGAAACCATTTCTCAGGGAATTTCTTGAGGGAGTTGAGAGATCACGAGATAACCTTAAGATCTGAAGGGTCAACGGTAGTCATCATGCCTAGGTGTGATGGTCTGTCACCAGAACTTTGAGGTGATTGTCCAGCCTTGTTTTGAATGTATAGATAAGGGGAGAACTGTTGAACAACCAGTGCATTGTCTTCCTGCTTTGAAGGATGTGTGTTGTGATGTGCGCATGATGTGTTGGGACTTGTTGGGCATATCAAGCACATATTAAGCTTGCTGCACATATCAAGCTCTCCTTTGGACACCTGGGAGGAAAAGGCAATACACAGGTGTCAGAGAAAATACATAACACATGGTTTTAGACTGGAACCATCAGTTAGTTCTCCCTGGAGGATTAACCTGTTTTCCACCTTTAATCTAATACAGTCCTATGACTTTGGGTTGTCCTGCCTTTACCTTCTTAGTGCTGAGAATAGGCTTGCACCACCAGACCTGGTTATCTGTCTTTTAATCGATTCTGTGGCTGTGCCTTGCTATATAAAATAGTAACTTTTTATATAGCAGTCGTTTGTGGGGGTTGGAGAGTTGGCTCATCCGCTTAGAGCACTTGCTGTTCTTGCAGAGAACCTGATTTGATTTTCCACATGCCTCTGATGTGGGACTCATTCATAACTCTAGTTATAGAGGTCAGATGCCTTCTTCTGGCCACCGGGGCATGAAACACACATATGGTGCATAGACATACATGTAGGAAAAAATCCTTATAACATATAGATATAAAAGAATTTAACAATTGGTTTGTACTGCTGAGGCTGGATGACTGTCTTGTCTATGAGTCAACCGCCACACAGCAGTACTGTGACATACATGGTAAATCATGTATTTACACTCCTAAAAAACTGTCACCTATGAGTTTATGAATGGAAGCAAGGCAAGTAGATGTTAACCCTAGTAGGTTTTTTTTTTTTTCGGGGAAAAAGAAACCCATAGTTTTTCATATCCATAGTGTGTGTTTACATGTACAATGGTTAGTGTTGATGTGTTTGAGAGTTTGAACCAATTTTTATGAGTTAGTTGTATAGGGACCTAGAATTGATCTTGGTTGTCAGTGTCTACCTAGTAAATCAATTCCATGGCCTGAACTTATATAGCTTCCTGTTTACCAGGCAAGCAATCTACATTCTACCCACCAAGCTACATCTACAGCCTGCCTCTTTAATTTTGTAGCCATTGGTGTTTGAGATTGTCTTTTTTGGTAGCCCTGTAACCTGGTATGCAACCAGGCTGGACTCAAGTCACAGAAAACCATGGCCTGCCTCTGCCTCTCAGTGCTGGAAGTAAGGCCTGCCCCACCAAGCCTGGCATCTCCAATTCTTCACCCTTAGCTACACTGTAGCCTGCATTTCATTGTCTGAAGTGTAATGTGCGATTAAGCTTGGAACAATTTTTGGATTGTTAGTGGCTATGATTCTCAAGTGACATCATAATCTTTAGTGAATTGTAGACAACAAAATTGTTGTAGTATGCAGATTTATTGTTAGTTAATAAATTCTGATGTGTTCTAAAGACAGTGTGTATCTGTTTCTGAAAAGTATGTTCACTGCACTTGAGTGTTTTACCTGCTTGTCGTGTACCATGTCCATGCAGTACCTGCGAAGCCAGAAAAGGGTGTCATTCCCTCGAACTGGAGTTACATGTGGTTGTGAGCTTCTGAGTGGGTGCTGGGAATCAAACCCTGGTCCTCTGCAAGAACACAAGCTCCCTTTACCACTGAGCCATCTTATAGTTGTTAGCCAGGCACAGTGGTGCACTCCTTTCAAATAAAGGCTATAACGGGAGTCTCTTCGGCTTTCTGTTGAGAGTGCTCCAGAACTTATTCCATATTCCAGGCAGGCCTTGAACTTGCGATCCTCCTGCCTCAGCTTCCTTCCTATATCACAGCCTGTCTCTCTGAGTCCTGCTCTCATTAACATTCACTTGTGTTGTGAATGAACCAGTAGGTTTATGGGCAAGAGACTCATGTCTGGGGACCATCCCTATGGGGCCAAATCTGAAAAGGTATCAGGTGGTGGCCACTATAGTGCCAGGGATACATTCCTTGCCTTGCTTCCCTCCAACACTCCAAATTGCTGCAGCTGGCACTCTCCAGAGCTTTCAAGGCTTGGACATAATTCACTTCCCAAAGGAGTCATGATGCTCTCTGTTCATGAGCCCCGTGATTTTATCTTCCAACGGATGTCCGCTAAGCTTAAAGTGTCTGTAACTTTCCTCTACTTTCTGGGGAAACCAAGGTTGTATTCTCTTTCTGACACAAGGACAGAAGGCTCCAGCAATTCTGCTTCAGTCTTTTGAATGACCACTGCAGAGTTTTGACAATTTTTTTTTTTGCCGTGACCTCTACATAACCCTGGCTATCCTGGAACTCAGTATGTAAAGAATACTGACCTGGATGTCAGAGATCTCCCAGCCTCTGACTTTCTAGTGCAAGTATTAAAGGTGTGCACCACCACCACCCAGCAAATGATTAGTTGGTTATGTTTTGAGTGAGAGCTCCCCTTCTGCTTTGAAACTGATGAGCTTATAGGTGGTAGCCAATCAAAGATCTTGAATTGTGGTTTGGTATTTATGTCATGGTGTTTTTATTTGTTGTTTTTTTTTTTTGTTCCTCTGTAGTTTTGGAGCCTGTCCTGGAACTAGCTCTTGTAGACCAGGCTATCTCTAACTCACAGACGTCTGCCTGTCTCTGCCTCCCGAGTGCTGGGATGAAAGACAGGGTAGTAGGGTCTTGGTTCTTCGATTTTTTTTGAAACTGGGTCTCACTATCTAGCCTAGACTTGCATCTAGCTCTCAAATCTACTGCCACAGCATTGAAACTGTTGGGATTCTTGACAACACCACCTGCTACTTCATTCCATAAAGTCTGCTGCAGTGTCCATGAGTCCAGCCCCTGCAGTTTCGATCACTTATTGATAGAACAGGACGGAGTCTACAAATGTAAGTGCCCAACATCCATTCTTTTCTTATTCAATATCACAGATGTAATGGTTAATGCTGACTGTCAACTTGACAAGATGTGAAACCAGAGATAAGATGTGGGAGGGGGAAGGAGGAGGAAGAGGCAGGAAAGAAAGAAGGAAGAAAGGAAGGAGAGAGACATATGTCAGGTTAGCAGGCTAGATGGTATCAGCTTGTAGTACTAACTACTTGGGAGCCTAGGAAAGGCGGGCCACAAATTTCTCGGTCTTCAAAGTTCAAATCATCCTTTAGAAAACCTATAGAGAGCCTGTCTCTGTTTGTTTGTTTGTTTGTTTGTTTGTTTGTTTGTTTTTAGCTACAAAGAGGGTGTTGCCCCGGAAACTGAGTTAGAGATGATTTCCGGCTGCCATCTGGGTGTTCCAAGCAAACCTGGATCCTTCTGCAAGAGCAGCTAGTGCTCTTAACCATTTCTACAGCCCACAGCTTTCCTTTTCAACTACTACCTTCCAGTCCCAGGGATGACTGACCACACTCCTGAATCCCCACCCAGCACATCCTCATGGGGTCCTGGATGGTTCAAGGAACTGTTTGTATCAAACCTGCCATCCCGAAATGGCAGAAGTTAGGGATGGGGTGAAATCTGAAACTCATTCATGACCTACTTCACAAGCATTGGTGCTGACAAGAGACCCCATCATCCTGGGGCTTGGGAGTCTGCTAAACTCACTGTTCTATGCGTCACTTCAGCCTTCGTCCCTGTTCATAATGCTTTTCTGACTGTCCCTCACCAAGATCAGTGTCTCTCAATTCCCATGAACAGAAAACAGCCTTTGACCCATAGAGAATTCCTCTGGCTGGTGCTTATACACACAAGCCCTGGCCACAGTGCAGGTGAGAGACCCCCTTTCTTCAGTGTCCCCATTCCTTTCCTGTTCCTATCCTTTAGCTCAGACACACTTCCTGTGAAGGAAAACATGACCCAGCCTTTCTCAATCTGGCCCACCTACCTGGTTGTCTAGCATGGCAATGCTGGACTCAACCCCTACCCCAGTTCAGCCCTCAGCTTCCTGAGTGAACGTCTGAGACCTCAGTTCAGGGAGAGTGAAAACAAGACTGTGCATCTGGAAAGATCCATTCTCAGCAGGAGATGCTGATGTATGTGTGACACAGGACATTTTCTGTGCTACATCGGGGTCTGGAAAAAAGAAAGAGGAGGAAAAACTGTGGCTATACTCTTCAATTATTTGTTTTTTGAGATGGCAAACACCAAAACAAACAAAAAGAATGAACAACATTGGTTAAAGACACTTGCTCTTGCAGAGGACCCAGGTTTGAATCCCAGCACCCACAAACATTAGTAAGTCCACTTCCAGGGAAGCTGACATGCTCTTCTGACTTCCAAGGGCACCAGACAAGCTTGGGGTCATATACAAACATGCAGGTAAAACATCATCTACATAAGATGAAATATATTTTTAGTTTATTTTTATTTTTTGGGTTTTAAAATCCTTTCTTTATTTAATGTGTATGGATATTTTTGTCTGTGTTCATGCCCAATGTCCACAGAGACCAAAAAGAACTTGGAACTGGCATTTCATATGGTTGTTAGCTGCTATGTCGGTGCTGAGAATTGAACTCAGTTCCTATGGAAGAGCAATCAAGTGTTAATAATGGACCATCTCTCCAGCTCCCACCCCAGGTTGTTTTCGTTTGTTTTCTTGTTTTTTGTTTTTGAGACAGGATCTTATTATGTCCTGTCCTGGAACTAACTTTGTAGACCAGGCTGGCCTCTAGCTTACAGAGATCCTCCTGAATCTGGCTCTGGAATACTGGGTTTAAAGACCTACACCACTATGCCTTTTCAAACAAACAAAAATACAATCAAAAAAAACCAAAGGAAACACAATAATAAAGTGACTGGAGAGATGTTCAGGTTTTAAGATTACTGGCTATTCTTTAAAGGACCTGGGTCAATTCGCAGTATCCATATGATGGCTCATGCCTGTATGTCTCCAGTTGCTGACCCTCTCCTGACCTCTATGGGAGGTCAGGAATGCATGTGGAACACAAAAATACATGTAGGCAAAATACACATAGCTTATTTTTTAATTTTAAAAAAATTTTAAGGTAAGTTTTATCTATGTAGCTTTGGCTGTCCTGGAACTTGCTCTGTAGACCAGACTGGTCTCAAACTCACAGAGGTCAGCCCACCTCTGTCTCCTGAGTGCTGGGATTTGTTGTAGGAGACCACTAGTTAGTTCCCAACCCCTTCGCCCTGAAATAATCACACAGAAACTGTATTATTTAAATCACTGCTTGGCTCATTATTTCTAGCTTCTTATTG